CAGAATGTTAAGAAATAAGCAGATCATTATTTACCGAGATCTGAGTGTCTCAATGTTAAACACAACCGGCTTTCAGATCGAGTCTGTAGCTGCATTAATAAAACGGACAGATGCAGAAGAATAGAAATAAATAGAGTTGAGAAGCTCAGAATGAAGCAGAAATCTCCTGAGGAGCCTGAGCTTGAGTAAATGACTGTGATGATGATAATGATGATGATGATGAAGATGAATGAAGATCATCCTCTGGACATAAAGCTGTTGATCGGCTCAGATTCAGATTGATTCAGTGAATCAGATTCATCAGATCTGAGCTTCATTTGGACAACAGATTCAGGATCCCTGAGAGAAACAGATTCAGATTCAGCAGATTCAGATTCACAGAGTCTCAAATGAAACACAAATGTTGTTGTGATTCAGTCAAACTCAGTTCAAGTCTTTATTTCTCTTACTTTGATTCACTCACCTGTTTTCTGAATCACTGCACTGAAAGATGCTCTGAAAACATCTGACAACAGATTGAAACTGATTAGTAAGTACTATTATACACATCAAAGTAGTTTCTCTTTATTGAGGGAGATTTTATAGTTTAGGCCACTGATTCCATCATTAAATATGACTTTATATCAGAAATGTTACAATTAACTGACACAATTAAAGACTCGTGACTCACCTGAAGATTCTTTTATGCAGCAAGAACCAGACCAAAACCAGAAGAACAATGAAGATCAGAGCAGAAATCCACCACAGCTGATCTAAACCAGCAACAACACAATAAAATCATCTGATGGACTGAATTAATGAACTAGATCTCATGCTGTCGATCATCAGCTGAACTCACATGATTCTGGAGTTTGAGTCGATCCACTGATGGAGTCATTAAACGCTGAAAAACACATTCAGTATTATCATGATTGACTTGAAGCGCAGAAGATTCAATCAGAAACACAGAGTTTGATCTGAATCAGGACACACTGATGTGTTTCACTGTTAATATTAGAGATCATAAACATCATACTGATAGTTGAAGTGTTTCTCTCACCTCTGAACACGGTGTCATATCTGAACTGTGATGAAAGACAGAAGCTTTAGAGCAGCGTTTACAGTGTTCATGATCATTTAATTACTGTATGCGTTTGTGTTTAATGTCCTGATGAACTGCAGCTCTAATGATTCATAGTCAGATCAAGATGATCATCATTTCTGTGTTTAAATATGAAAACAGATGAATGTTGAGAGATTGAGTTGATTTACTCCATTAGAATGACAGATGATCTCATGCTTCAGATTCATACACTGAGACGTGACGAGACGATCAGAAGAGACAGAAATAACAGGATCAATCAGTGTTTGAGGATCTGATGGATCTGCTATCAGACGATCATCCTGAACAAATAAAACACTAGAGGATGAAGTAATTATCTGAGTGAATAATAGTGTAGTTTGAGGACAGAAACACACTCACCTGTTAGAAGGTGTAAACTGGTGTTTTCTAAATTTCAGATGTTATAATTCTTATACAAGCATCCAGTCTCACATTACACTAACGGGCACGTACACAAATAGACCCCAATAGTCCTCATGCACCTGACGTTTGGCATCTGAGCAGACAAGTCATTTTTTATTATTATTAATATCATTATTGATAATAATATTTAATAATAATACTAATAATATTTATACCATGCATGGTTAATGGAAACCTAGAATCAGGCTATGAATTAATTATTTAAATATTTTATAATGCCTAACTTCACTGTACGAGCCGAACGGAGCAGTTTTCAGCACAATATGACTGAAGCGCAGTTCTTTTCATTGTGAATTTTGTTTAATAGATAATCTTAAGGGAATATAATTTTCCCTATAGATTTATATTACAACCGTGGTATGTTTCTAAATGTGCAGGCTGTTGTTTTTCATAACAAATGCTATATAGATTAATAAAAGAAGTCATTTTTGGCCTGCTAATGAATAATAGGCTAGCCTTATTATAACAAGTGCTTTTAAAAACTATGGTACATTTTCATAAGAGCAAGCACAAGTCAGAATCGAGAGCCATGTGTACAATGTGTTCTAATGATGAGTGATGGATAAACTGAAATCATTAAGAGCCTGATGAACTGTTGATGAGTAAGAAATAAAATAAACAATAGCAACGTAAGAACATGTTCAGTTAGATTGACTTCCCATGTTGAATCAGAACATTCTGTCAAGTAAATGTTAACTAGACTATTGTTTAATTGCAGTTATGTTATCAACCAACTTTGCATGTATGGATGATCGCACAAAAGACCAGTTTACAAAAATAAACACATAAGCAAACAAACAAAGAATAAACTTTCTGAGGAAGCGTGTCCCGGGACTCCACTAAACGAGCAACTCTGTAGAAAACTAAATATGAATCCAAAACAGTAGCCTACTATAAAAGAGTTAAAATATGCAGACACTTTTTATTCCATAGCCTACATTCCTTGAAGAATAATAATGATATTACAGTAACATCCAGTTCAATGACATTCCGCGTTATGGCTTGAGCAAACTACATTTTTATGACTGGATTCCATCCGCGTTTTCCTCAGTAAATTATTACATTACTGCTGAGAAAATATGCATATGAGAGATTCATCCTACTATTTCACATTTGCACACCCACTTTCCCCCCAACTCTTCAGAACTATTCTCACAATATAATCCCGCTAATGAAAGTCATTCACAGACTGCGATGCTTGGCTTTCCTTGACCAATAACAATTTACAGTGTGAACAGAAACAGACAGTCTCTTATGGAAGCGTTTTATGTATCTGACTATTCAAATAAGTCACATGAATACCTCACAGTCAATAAAAGCCAGATGATTTTATCTTTCAAATGTGTTACTATGCCCTTTAATTACTGTGATCTATTACAAATGTTTTATATTAGTTATATAATGATTGTACCATTAATCAATTACACGATACATTTTAGTTAAGCTTTTATTTTAAATGAATATAAATACAGATAATATGCGATATAAATAATCTTTAGAATCAATAGATAAAGCGTTAAACAAGACTACATAAGATCTTTTTATACCTATAACTCTATGAGCTAACTTCAGGTCTTTCTCTTGCACGGATATCTCCTGCGCTCATGTCTTACAGCACGAGTGTGTCATTTTTATTATTATTATTATTATTATGCCTGCAATCCCCCTCTTTGTCATCGTCCTCAGTGTTTTATTCTTGCGTATAGTCGCTAGTGTCAGCAAGCTAAACTCATGACAGTTTTACAGGAAAAAAACCAACCAATCAGCATTTCATATGTGAGCTGGCATTCCTCCCAGGAACACAACCCTTATCTTGGTCAGGAGGATGGCTGTTTAAAGTGACTCGGACTGAATCATCGTGTTTGCACGTGCTGTACAGCTGTAAACCAAGGCTACGGAATGACAGCAATGTGCTTTGAATGCCATTTCATTCACTTAAACACTTTCAAGCCACGCGGGGTGATTGGCTTATTCCTGAAAATACACTAATAATCAGCATATTTCACCCGAACCACAGAGAATTCAGTTAAACAAAGGCTGTCAGTTGTATCAGGATTCGGGACAGATGCATATCTCTCTTTTGATGGATGTTTACAATAATGCATAAATACAAACCTCTGTCTGCTGACCACGAGACACTTGTACCCAGACTTTATTACCTCTATTCCTCTGCTCCGGATTCCTGCTCTCCTCTGATCTAGAATCACAATTCACTTTTATTGGCAAGCTGCATATATATATATATATATATATATATATATATAACTGCGCTAATTTCTCTGTTTGACAGAAGCTCAAAGCAATAACTTAAATAATACTGAAGTTCAAAGCAACTGGATCTGTGCTCAAAGCACACGCTGTAATGAAACACGTGGACCTGTGAGAAGAGCTTTCGCTCCTGTTACCTGTAGCAGGTGTCAGCAGAATGCACTGTGACTGGACAAAAGCGTTTACTTGTGTTCTTACATGGCAGTGAGTGAATGCAGTTTCTGTAAATGAGTAAGTTCAGAGCTCGCGCGCTACTTACACTCCTGCGCCACCTTCTGGATGATTCAGTGAATGACCCAAAAAACATTTAAAAAATGGATATGATCAATCTTATCGCTATGAAAAAATAAATGTGACCGTACTTCACGAGCGGAAAATGCTAGAAGACGTGGTTTTAGGACCCGCAGCTTCCGCACCATTCAGAACCACCAAACTCCAGAAAATAGTCATTTTAAACAAAAGAACAGACCTTTATCTGCGGATTATGCATAATATAATTGGAGCATCTGACGCGACTCGCTGTTTGAACAAGACATTCAGCAGCTTTAGAACAGACACATTATTATTATTATAATAATTAAAGCCAGTTTTTATCACAGCACAGTTAAATATCGAGCATCAGTCGGCGAGAAATCGATCAAAAACTGGCTGATTTCAGAGTCCCACATAAAGTGTAACATACTCGTCTGCTCACAATACATTTTTAAGGACTGTTTTGTTTTGAGAGCATCGTCTGTGAACCTCGGAAACACATCCCTCAAGCAGAGCACAATGCCATCATTCCTCCAGAATCTGATGAGTTTGGAGAAGCTCGAGCTCTCCAGCATCTTTCTGAAGCGCACCGGAGGAGAAATGGATCTCAACTACATTACAAGCCATGCAGTCTGTTGAAGGTAAAAATATGGAAGTGAAGCATTAAAACTGAGGAATAGGCCTATTCCTGAAAAAAAAAAAAACTTATTACAGTCACAATTGAACAAACTATCCAGGTATAGCGTTTTCAGTCAGTTTTAAAGTCAATTACTGCATGTACCCAACCAACCAATAGCCGCAGGAGCAGTTTTGCAGTCATGGATCTTGTGAGTGTTTATTTGATTCAGTTTATCATTCACACAACACGGCATAGATCTGCCTCTCCTCTTTTGAACAGTCTCTCACTTGCTCTCCTTTGATTTGATCACTCACTTTTTTACTTTTCCTTTCCTCCCTTACAGCCAATTAGCGTTCAGCAAAGTTCTTCTACAAACAGAAGCCTAGTCATCAAAGAGAAGGAGACAAAAATGTCAAGACAATTTTTTTTTTCAGACATTTGTCTAACTTATAATGGAAAGATAGAAAGAAATGGTCCTCCATTCTTCTCTTGATCTTCCTTCCAGTAGACTTTAGTAGAACATTTAGCTTGATTTGACCTTTTACATGAATTTCCCAGCTAACAATTTCTTGTTCTGAGAATGTTTTCTAAGCATTCAGTTTTGGTTGGGAACATTAAAATTCAGTTTTCTTAATGTTAGTGGAACGTCATTTAAAGGTTAGTGTGATGCTCCTGAAACATTCTTGAGATCCACGTCAGGAAATATCGCACAGATCCTGGATCCGTCTCTTAGCAGAAAGTATCGCTTTTGTCTGGTAACCAAACCCTTGTCTGGTCTCAGGTTGCTCTCTGTTCTGTCTGTCTGTCTGTCTGTCTACACAAAACAGCATCAACAAACATCTGTCAGTCTAAGAGTCTAAGAGGAAGCAGGGAAGAGAAGAAAGCAGGAGATGAATGATGATAAAATGAGCAGAGTTTATTGAATAACCTTATTGTTTCGGTCAGACTTCATCTGATCAGTGCAACCAACAGCAAGAGTTATTATGACAAAACTCCATAACAAGACGTCCCATAAAACCCTGGACACATTCTCCCTCGTCTCATTCGTGAAGACAAACATTAAATGAAACAACGATAAGTTAAACAACTTAGCAAGCAGTGCAAGAGCAAGAAGAATAAATAATCTAAGATATAATACAATAATATGAATTAATAAATGATTGATTGAACAAATTAGTAAACGACTGAATGATAATGAATGAAATAATGATTAAAAAGATAAATTATGAACAAAAGAAATAAAACACAAAACAGTCGTTTGGTCACTTTTCAAAGATGGTTGAATTGGATCCCAAGATCATTTTCAGTGTTTTCCATCTCATGTATTTATTTCTATTACAGAAGCGGATGAAGGAGAATAAATAAGAGTTGAGAAGCTCAGCATGAACAGAAACTCCCTTCATCATCATGTCAAAGATCAGTGACGTTCAGCTCTGAGCTTGAGTAAATAATGACCTGAGCGATTCACACTGATCATCCTCTGGACAAGGAGCCGTTTAACTGTTCAGATTCAGACTGATTCAGTGAATCAGGAGCATCAGATCGGAGCTTCATTTGGACACCAGATTCAGGATCTCTGAGAGAAACAGATTCAGATTCAGCAGATGAAGATTCACAGAGCTAAAGATTCACTTACAGCAGATGCAGATTCATTCTCATCAGAATTGTGTGAAGGTCAAATCATCATCTGTCTGTTTCACCTCTCAAATGTTCAAGTGATTCACTCCATTACATTTATTCATTTACCTGAATGACTCACTGCATTCAAAGAGCTCGTTTGATTCGTTCATTCATTCAGTGTGAATCAAACCCATGATCGTAGTGTTGTTCATCTACAGGAATCACTCACCTGTTTTCTGAATCATCCTCACGCTGACAGATGAACCACTGTTCAGTCTGAAAACATCTGACAACAGATTGAATCTGATTATTACATCTGATCACATCCATCACAGAGTCTGAGTTTATTCAGACTGAGTTCACAGATTCAGTGATCTGAAGATGAAGGGAAATGTGATTCATGATGAAATATAGTGAGATTCAATGACTGAGATGATTCTTTAAGATTGATAACGACTCACCTGAAGATCCTTTTACGCTTCATCAAACAGATCAAGAAGAAGATGAGAAGAACAATGATGAAAACAGCCAAAAGCCACCAGAGCTGATCTATACAAGTGATCAAAGATAAAATCAGCTGATCAACTCAAATAAACACATGAATGAACCAAAGAAATCTGCTGAAATATGAAAATGATGAAAAGAATATCAGGAAGCAAAACCAGAGACGTCACGTTCTGAATGTTTCACCTGAATGATGGAGATCTGGAGTCACTTTATTCAGAAGATCTTTACAAACACACAAAGATCACAAATATGAGTCAATATGAGAGAAAAGAGTGAAACTGAATCAGATCTGCAGTGTTTTATTAGTGAATAATCAGACGTTTATCAGCTGAAACTCACCTGAGGCTGGAGTCACTGCAGTTTCATTCCTCACTGAAAAACAGATTCACAATCATCATGATTCACTTGAAGATTCACAGAAGATTCACTTCAACACAGAGTTTGATCTCAATCAGGACACTAGGATGACCATATTTTAGTTTTCCAAAAAGAGGACAGTGGGGGGCGGGGTTCGAGGGCGGGAGAAGGAGGCAGGGTTTCGCCTAACACAGTATACCTAGCAAGGTTTTTTTTTTTTAGAATAAATAAAAAGAAAACAAGTAGATAGAATAGAAAAAGAATAGGGAATGCTAGTGTTAGAGGCTCATTTTTAAATAAAAATAAAACAAGTCAATAGAACAGAAAAAGAATAGATAATGCTTGCGTTAGAAGGTCATTATTTATAATAAATAAAAAGAAAACAAGTAGAAAGAATAGAGAATGCCTGTGTTAAAGGCTCTTTTCTTTTTAAATGAAACAAGTAGTTAGAATAGAAATAGAATAGAGAGAATAGAATGCAATCAAATAGAATGCAAATGTTTGAGGGTCAAGTTTAATTAATTAAAAAAACAAGCAGATTAAATTAGAATTAGCATTAGAATAGAGAGTGCTAGCGTTAGAGGGTCAAATGAAGATGAAAGAGATGTGTTTTCCGCCGTTTCTTGAAAATGATTAAACTCAGCTTCATTCCACCAGGAGGGAGCAGTTCATGAAAAACTCCATGAAAGTTTTATGACAGGTTGAACTTGAATGCAATATATTTCAACACAGGCATTTCAGTCAAATGTATTGTATGCAATATTTCAAACCTTTAACCCACTTCGGAAAATCAACCCATGACTACAGTTTAAAAGTAGCCCAATTCTGTGGAAAAAACACGGACTTGCAACCCTGCATCCAACAAGAGCTACCGGAGTCAGCTTTGACTGATCACAGGTGGAGAATAAGGAGAGATGACTGACAAGACCATGCTGGAGTATTTGCTGCTCAACAGATCCTGAGCTCATTGACAAATATCTGATCTTGTAAGATGTGCTCCCTTTACACAGAGTGCGTGTGATCGCGAAATCGAAAGTGAAAGTAAACAGCGCAAACGCTCATTCAACAGAGATTTAAATACTCTGCATCCTGATGCGCCAAAATTATACACAATATTAGAATGTTTAAAGGAGTGGACACGAAAATCGCGGGAGCGAAACACATGTTGCGGGAGCAGGCGGCAATGGTCAGAGATTCAGCGGGAGCGGGATTAAGAAAACAGCCGAATCCCCGACATTTTGGGCAATTAAGAAATCCCGGCTGGACACATTTTTTAGGCCAAAAAGAGAACATGTCCGAGGAAAAGAGGACGTATGGTCATCCTACAGGACACACTGATGTGTTTCACTGTTTCTCTCACCTCTGAAGGCGGTCACACGACTGTAATGAGACTGAAATGAAGGAAAGAAGCATTAGAGCAGCATTTATAGAGTTAATGAAGGGTTAAATATGAACACAGATGAATGTTAAGAGAGATTGAGTTGATTTACTCCATCAGCAGAATCACAGATGATCTCATGATTCAGATCATGTGTGTGATTCAGGGCCGGCCTTGACCAATTTGGTGCCCTAGGCAAGATTTGGTGCCCTAGGCAAGCCCCTTGCATCGCCTAACTTTTTTTTTTTTCAGACATTCTTAAATTTAGGGATGCACTGATCCTAACTTTTCATGCCAGACTGCAATACTGATTTTGTATTTTATATAAGCAAAAGACAAGAAAGAATGAAAATATGAGTGCATGAAGAATATGGTTAGTTGCTTTATTAGCCTATATTTTGATCTAAATTAGACTGTATAATTTCAAAACCTAAAGCAAAAACAGAATGGTCTGACTTTAGCTTTGTGAAATTAGGCTACATAGAACATAACAAACAGCAGATGGGCTGAATGACAATGCAAATTCACTCTCTGTCAGCAGGTGGCGCTTAAGGAACAGCAGTGATGCATTGTCTCCTTGATTACCGATGTAAACACAATGCATTATACAGAGGCAAGATGAAAGGAAAATGCCATCTAAACTGTTTCTTAAGACAGTCAGTTCCCCTCAGAGATACATTCTTACTTCACGCATTGTGAACAGTGAGCTTGCTCTGCCTGCTAATGTATTTGCTCCTCTGCGTCTCTGGCCTCTGTTAACGCCGTTTACAGACTCTGAAATAAAACAAAAAAACGTCTGGTTCCGATTTATGGTCGATCGGTGCATCTCTGCTCAAATTCAGATATCAAACTGCTTTTATTTTGGTGGTTTGCCAGCAAATAAATAAGTGAAGCGCTGCGTGTCATGGGCTGCACTCGAAGTCTCGAACATATTACTCGCTTCACTCAGAAAACTGCAGCGCATAGGTATGTTTATTTTATTTAATCGCAACCTTCGCGATATGACTATGGCATTACGCCATAATGCGATATCGATTATATTTCGATATATAATGCACCCCTAATTAAAATAATATTGTTAAAAAAAAAAAAACTCATTTGGGCGCCCCTAGCATTTGCCTATTTCGCCTATGCGACGGGCCGGCCCTGGTGTGAATAATGGTGTAGTTTGAGGACAGAAACACACTCACCTCTGTGTACCAGCTCTGCTCACAGTCAGTGAGTGTTTGATTCAGTGAATCAGAGGGAAGTTTGAACTCAAACCCGCCGTCAGTCTCAATCTCTCCACACCTCACAGTGATGTTAGGCATGTTTCAATGCTGAAAAGATTAAAAAAATATTTTAAATCACAGTACCAATTCATTGCATTATATTATTAGTGCATAACAAGTGTTTTCATGCAACAAACATTAACTCATTTATGGAAAAGATGTATTGATGTGCATATAAAGCTTTTTAAATACTAAGAACCTAATAACTTCTAAAATCATAGAAATAACTGCAATGCTGTTAGGATGTTTTGAAGTCTTTTCAACAAACATCAACTTTATTTTCAGTCTGTTCCTCACACAAAGCTCTCATATTTCAGAAATCTTGGAGTATACAGGAGTCATGTTGATTATCACTGTTATGATAGTTTGTCTTTCTGGATCTTGACAGTCCGAGACACCATTCAATTTCATAATACAAAAAAAAAAAAGAGCTATAGAGGAATGAAATCACACTGTACAAATATATAAACGGCTCACATCCCTTACGAAAAAGAAGTTTATATACTTTTTATGTACTTCTCAGAAATATACTTAAAATGACATTTAAGTATACTTGACTTATACTTAGAAAAAGTCTAAATATATTTTAGCTATACTTGTGCTCCTAGAATGCGTGTTTTCATTGTTATAGATATTTGTATACTTACTACATAAAGTATACTTAAAAATATACTTGAACTTTACTTAAGTATACTTAATAAAATAAACTTTAAGTATACTACTTTTTGGTAAGGGATGTCAAAAGGTACACATAAACCTTCACTTAAATCTTAAATGAATGAATGAATGAATGAATGAGCAGAGGCATGAGGCCAGTGAAGACATTTGACAGAAGACAGTGAGCCATGACATTTATTCATTGAAAAACCCTCCATCAGTTTTGTGCTTTAATTCTCCGCCGCTTCTCTCTTCGGCAGCCGCTCGGCGCTATTTTAGTGACACATGTCTAGAGCGCATCACTGTAACACGACAGCACATCAATTAATATACATGTTCTCTTATCTCACTCAGATGAGCACCTGGCTCTGTACACTACTCTAACTCTCTGTGTTCTGGCTCTAGAAGTGAATTCTCTTTTACATGTTGTTTATTAGCGTAAATGGACAAATGCCTGCAAAGTCTGACAATAATTAATGTAGCCTATACTTGTTGTTACTGTATTCCATACCTTAAGCGGATCCTTGGGCAAAATAAGTGAAGCAATCCTGACAGCAGAAAGATTTCGCTTCTCTTCAGAGCGTGTTGAGTATTTATTCATGATGATAGCTCATGGGAGGAGCCAAAGACAGAGGCTTTCCAAAAGAAAAATGAAAATGAAAAATGAAAATGAAAAATGAAAATGAAAAATGAAAATGAAAATGAAAAATGAATCACCACCTGTAGACAATAACAGTATTTAAAGTCGGCATGTAGCCAGAACGGTGTTCCATCACATCTGGTAAAAAAAAGAAAATAAGATAAAAAAAAAAGAAACAAACCTTTGATGCTCATGTTTATACTCGGGACACACGCATGGATGTGCGGTGTATTCCCCTCCATTGATCTGTGAATGTTTCTGTCCAGTGTCCAGTGCAGTGTGTGACTGTCCTCGCTGTTCCTCCGCTGTTCAATCCCATCAGAGCCGGGTTTACAGCATTTCTGCCCAGGACTCGGTTAAACTGTGCTCCTCGGTGAACTGATCCACTTTAACGGCGTGTTTCCCGATGATTGTAGAAATAAGGCAAAGTCAAGAGTAATGCATTACCACGAGTTTAAAAATGAAACGTACCTAGAAAGATGATCAAACATCACTTAAAAAAGCTCTTAGCTAAGCTTTAGCCGTTTCTTATTACTTTACCAGGAAGTGTTTTAGACCTCGTGGCTGTCTGAAAACAGACAAGCGCATAAAGATGGTTTCTAGAAAAACAAATGCATTCAAAACATAAAATCAATCTCAGTATAGCTTATACACAGTATGTGAGGATTTGTACTATTAATGAATCACACAGAGGTGCAGCGAGTTTAGTCTCAGCAGGAGTCGCGCTGCTTCTTCAAGTTCACTCACTGTGCTTTCACTTTCGGTTCTACGTCATGAGGAGTGCTCGTCATCCCCCTGCGTTACGTCACGCGATGCTAACACAGGCTTGTTTGAGATGCAGGCGGCTGCAGTGAAATAAGCGCTATATATATATATACTGTATATTATACACACACATAAACACACACATGCTGCAGGAGTAGCATTGTCCTCTGGTTTGATCCACGTCTCTGTCAGGGCCATGAGGTTTAGTCTTGAAT